GCTTTGTGAGCCATATGGTCTCTCTTCCTAAACTACTCAACTCTTCCATTCCATTATAGCATGGAAGCTGCCATAGACAATATGGCATGAACTTGGCTGTGTTTCCAAAACACTTTCTTTGTAGGTGCTGAATTTTAATTTAATACAATTTTCTTGTGTCATTAAATATTATTCTTTTGTTTTTTCCAATCACTAAATAATATAAAAACCATTTTTAGCTCATGGGCATAAAAACAGGTTATGGGGGTGCCTGGGTAGCTCAATCAGTTAAACTCTGCATTTTGGCTCAGGTCATGATTTCAGCTCATGAGTTCAAGCCCCACATCAGGCTCTGTGCTGACAGTGTGGAGCCTACCTGGGATTCATTTTTTCTCTCTCTCTCCGCCTCCCTCCCTCTCCCTCTTGCTCTTTCTCTCCCTCTCTCTAAAATAAATAAACTTTAAAAGTTTAAAGAAACAAAACAAAACAAAACAAAAACAGGTTATGGTCTAGACTTGCCTGAAAGGCTGTGGTTTGCTGAACTTTGTTCATAATAATCCTGTGAAACTTTGCTGATGGCCTTCTGTTTTTTCCCCTTTCTTTTAACATTATTTTATGTTTTGCTTAATTTGGTACTTAATCATGCTTTTGTTGTTAATATATATGTAACATTTAAGTTTTAACAGTTAAAAAATTTTTAATGATTTTTATTAAGTTTTAAGCTATGGAGGGTATGGTCTATAATATTGGCCTTTTTAACACCTTGCACATTTATAAAATGGCCTTTTTACACCTTGCACATATATAAAAGTTATATAGGTTCAATAGGTATTTGGGAGAGATGAAAAGGAATAATATCTGTTGTCCAATATTTGAAGGAATGTTGTGTAGATTGTTTCATTTCACTCATTCATTCATTTATTAAACATACATTCCAGGATGGTTCTCTTTCATTACAGAGTATAAGTAATAGGGAGGAAAAACTCACCTCAGAATGTGGGGATAAGAGAAAGGAGAGAAAGAAGCTCTTATCATGTTCTTTGTGTCATGGTATATAGTGTGGTCAGTGGTATAGACAGTCCCTCATTTAACCTTTACAAATCATTTAGGTATGTATTTCTTTACTCATTTTGTAGACGAAGAAACTTAGACAAAATATATTCAGCTTAGAGAAGTGAATGATGGAGTAGGATTTGAACTGAGATGATGATATTTCGTATACTTTTTATACTAAGGAATATTCGATTAACTAGTCTGCCTTACACATTAGCTTCTTAGATGTTACAACAAGTATTTTTTTGTGTGTGTTTTGTGTTTTTTGTTTTTTTTTTGCTATGACTACAACTTTTCACACATATCTTAGATGACCAAGAACAAAGACTTTTTTTTAAAGAAATGGTGAAATGTTGAAGAACTCTAAGCTAAAGTTTCAGATTCTTTGACTATATGATTACAAAAGGCTTTACTTTTATTTATTCATTAAAAAAATTTTTTTAATGTTCATTTATTTTTGAGAGAGAGAGAGATAGATTGCTTGCACACACACGATAAAGAGGAACAAAGAGAGAGGGAGACACAGAATCCAAAGTAGGCTCTAGGCTCTGAGCTGTCAGCACAGAGCCCGACGTGGGGTTTGAACCCACAAACCACGAGATCATGACCTGAACCGAAGTCACACACTCAACTGACTGAGCCACCCAGGCGCCCCAGGGCTTTGCTTTTAAATGACATTTCTCTTTTGTGTTTGTACTTCTCTTTAAAAATGTTGTTTTACAAAAGCAATTTAGAATTGTACAATGAAATACGATTGAGGAATATACATAAAGTTTCTGTCAAACTGTATGTTTGGCAGAAATCAGTGATTAAATCAAATTTTGACCTGGTCATTTCAACTAATTTGCTTGAAAGAAATTGAAGATGGGGGCTCTAGGGTGACTCAGTGGGTCAAGCATCTGGCTTGGGCTCAGGTCATGATCTTGCGGTTCGTAGGTTGAGCCCTGCGTAGGTTGAGCCCTGCGTTGGGCTGTGTACTGACAGCTCAGAGCCTGGAGCCTGCTTCAGATCTGTGTCTCCCTCTCTCTCTATCCCTCTCCCCCTTGCGCTCTCTCTCTCAAAAATAAATCAATATTTTAAGAAGTTGAAAAACCCAGAAATTGGAGATTGAGTAAAGGTAGGTTAAATAAAGGTAAAAAAGTAAATGAAGAACACTTTTGATAGAGTAAACAATTGTGGGTTTCTTTCTTGACTCAACAAGCATTTTGAGTGTCTTTACTGCTATGGGGAGCTCAGATGAGTAAGAGAAATGGACAGTGATAGAGACATGCATGAGGTGTTGTGGGAGCATAGGAGGGATGTGTAATCAAGCTGGAGTGGATGGAGGAAGAGATTCCAAGAGGCCCCACCTCCTGAGAAGATGTCTGAATTTTTCCTTTTCTCCCTTTATTGGCTTTAAAATAATTGAAATGTGCATAGTTATTGCAAATTCTAAACAGTCCAGAAGTATAAGTGGTAAAAAGAGTAAATCCTATTTACGCTTTCTGCTCTCCAATCCTTATTTTTCAAAGTTATAGTTAAGAGATTGGTAATATGCTTCCAGATTTTTGCCTATGCATAAACCAAGAGATTTTTTTCCTCCACAAAATTGGGTTCACACTATATATAATTTTGTAGGTTGCTTTTTCCCATATGTAATAGTCTAGCATGTATATGTTTCTATCTCAGTAGATAGAGATCAATCAATCTCATTTAAAAACTTGCTGCCTCACACAATGGGATGGATGTACCATCATTTGTTTACATTATTTCCTATTGTTGGACATGTAGGTTTTCAACTTGTTACAAACAATGAATATCTTTGTGCAGTTATGTTTGTTTTCTTTTATGCATTAAATTTTACATGATAAGTAGCATATATAGGCAGGTGAAGGGAGTTAAGGTTAATGTGAGGAGAAAATGTTTTCTAGGAGAAGGGAACAATATATAATGTGAAAACACTGCTGAAGAAAATGACACTTTTAGTTAGGGGAGAAGCATTTCTGTTTCTCTGCTGTGGAAGTACAGTACCTCTTGTTTTCTTGAACTTTAAACTGTTATGCTAGAGTATTTTATTTTGTGGAATAGGCATCTCTTTACTGAATAATTTATAGTTGTATACAATTTTCTTATTTTGGAGATTAAAAACTATTTTCCAGTAAATGTTACCAGATGGAGAAGTAGAATCACAAGCTGATAAAAATGGTTATTTCGGGGGCGGGGGGCATCTGGGTAGCTTAGTCGGTTAAGTGTCCGACTTATTCAGCTCAGGTCATGATCTCACAATTCATGAGTTTGAGCCCTGCTTCGGGCTCTGTGCTGACAGCTCAGAGCCTGGAGCCTGCTTCGGATTCTGTGTCTTCCTCCCTACCCCTTCTCCACTTGTGCTCTGTCTCTGTCTCTCTCTCTCAAAAATAAATAAATACTAAAAAAAAAAATGATTATTTGGATGTTACACAGAGTTTAAGTGAGTAGTTCTGGAAATAGAACTTTTATCTTAGCTGTCTTTTTCTTAGTCCTGGTGTCTAATTGAGAATTTCTTACACAGAGTTTGAAATAACTTTCTGGGTGGTTAGTCCCCCACCGCTGTCCATTTGAAATACATTTAGGTTAATCCATAAAATAACTGCTGGGAAGTTGCTAGTTTTTCAAGTAGGTATCTGACAATGTGATAGATGGCTTAAAGTAGATGACTTGTGTTTTGTTATATCTTAACTCTTAAGTGTAAGTTCTTATTACCCTTCAAAAGTTTTAGTTGCTGTTGTTTTGTTCCAAATTTCCATTTTTGGAAGTTGCTTATAGTGTGTGGTATCAAGTACTAACTAAGTTTTATAGAAATCAGAAGATTTCTTAAAAATACATTGGAAACAAAATTGTTCATTAAACAAGGCTGACATCTTTCTGAACTATTTATAAAAGTAAAAATTTTTCTTTTCTGGTTGTCAGGGATGCTCTGTTGTGGCTAGATGTGTTTTGTTAAATAGAAATCTGAGTCTTCAAAACACTAAAAATAGAACTACCTTACGACCCAGCAATTGCACCACTAGGCATTATCCGAGGGATACAGGTGTGCTGTTTCGAAGGGACACATGTACCCCACGTTTATAGAAGCACTATCAACAATAGCCAAAGTATGGAAAGAGCCCAAATGTCCATCGATGGATGAATGGATAAAGAAGATGTGGTGTATATATACAATGGAGTATTACTCGGCAATCAAAAAGAACGAAATCTTGCCATTTGCAACTACGTGGATGGAATTGGAGGTTATTGTGTTAAGTGAAATTAGTCAGTCAGAGAAAGACAAAAATCCTATGACTTCACTCATATGAGGACTTTAAGAGACAAAACAAATGACCATAAGGGAAGGGAAACAAAAATAATATAAAAACAGGGAGGGGGACAAAACAGAAGAGACTCATAAATATGGAGAACAAACTGAGGGTTACTGGAGGGGTTGTGGGAGGCGGGGTGGGCTAAATGGGTAAGGGGCACTAAGGAATCTAGTCCTGAAATCATTATTGCACTATATGGTAACTAATTTGGATGTAAATTTAAAAAAATTAAAAATTAAATAAAAAAAAGAAGTCTAAGTCTTTGTTAAAGCTCAACTTTTATAATTTCTTCCTCATTAAAAAAAAATCAAAACACATGCTAAATACTTCTAATTAGTGTTATTAATACGAATAATAGTCAGCCTAATGTTTTTTCTCATTACCTTAAACAATAATTATATTATCTATTCTATGTTTATGAAATGTTTATACTTCATCCTAAGGTAATTATCAATGTGAAGTGTAATTTTTCAGCATTCATATCTTTTGACATTTAGAGTTATTTTTCAGCAATAAAGTATATATTTAAACAAATGATAACTTAGGGGGCAGGGGAAACCTGGAAGGTGGTTGTGGGGAAGGACTGGTGGGAGGTGGGGGGCACTTAAAAAATAATGAACACATGATAACTTACTTCATATTTACTTTTTCTAGGGCTGCTTTGGAAGAAGTAGAAGGAGATGTGGCAGAATTGGAACTAAAACTTGATAAGGTGAATTTTACGTAAAATTTTTTTTTAAAGCATTAATCTTGTTTTCTGTAAATAATGATTTGTGCCTTTAATACTAGGTGGTTCATGTTACTTTTATCTCTTTGACGGTAAATGTCATTATTCCAATTTTACACATGAGGAAATTGAGGCTATAGACATCAAATAGCTTGCTGAAAATCTGAGTGCCAGAGCAAGACTTTGACCAGTAGCTGACTGCAAAGCTAACTAGATATCCTTTATATTGTTGGACCTTTGTTTTCTTCTTTTCCATCAAAAAGATTGCATGTATCTTTTTGATGCTTAATGGTTTTCATACATAGCCTGACCATTCTTGTTTATAAATGTGGGTTTGGATACATTAAACATAAATAAAATTTAAAATATTGATTCCATTTTTAAAGCTAATGCCATAAATATTTAGTGTATATTTAATAATTGATATTAAATGGTTATATTCTATGTAAGGGTAAAATGTATATTGATTTCTATCTTCTGTATTAATTATTGATAATCTTTTTTGTCTCTACCCAAGCAACATTGCTATATAGCAGGCAGCAATATGAGAATGAGTAAGACATGGCATCTGATTTCAAGTAACCATTGTTCAGTGAAATAATCTCTTAAAATTTATGGAGTTAAATCAGATGCACATACTCGAAATACTTTTTCTGAAAATAACTTCCTACTTGTTTGTTATTGTAAATTGTGTTACTACAAAGAGCAGTGCTTCTCAAACTTCACTGTGCATAGGGATTACCTGGGGATCTTGTAAAAATACAGATCCTGGGGGCGCCTGGGTGGCTCAGTTGGTTGGGCGTCCGACTTCGGCTCGGGTCATGATCTCGCGGTCCGTGAGTTCGAGCCCCGTGTCGGGCTCTGTGCTGACAGCTCAGAGCCTGGAGCCTGTTTCAGATTCTGTGTCTCCCTCTCTCTCTGACCCTCCCCTGTTCATGCTCCATCTCTCTCTGTCTCAAAAATAAAAATAAACGTTAAAAAAAATTAAAAAAAAAATACAGATCCTGATTCAGTAAGTCTGGGGTATCTGAGATTCTGTGTTTCTAATGAGATTCCAGGTGATGCCAATGCTGTTGTTGTCCCATGGACTGCACTTTTATGGCAAGGATATAAAACACATACTAGTTAAACTAAAGGTTTTCCAATGTTTTGAAATCATGAAATGTATGTATATAATGTAAACAGTATAGAAACCATATAAAGTAGTAGTATTAGTTATGTATTTAAAACCAAAAGTTTAGAAAATGTTTACTAATAGCTTATTTTTGTGTACTACTCTATAGTTTTCAAAACACTTTGATATGCAGTATATTTATTTTTTTTTAATGTTTATTTATTTATTTTGAGAGGAGAGGTGCACGTCAGGAGGGGCAGAGAGAGAGGGAGAACAGGAGTCAGCAGGCTCCAGGCTCTGAGCTGTCAGCAGAGCCTGACGTAGGGCTTGAACTCATGAACTGTGAGCCCGAGTCTGATGCTTAACCAGAGCCACCCAGGTGCCCCAATATGTTTTTTGATTTTTACAATAATTCTGTGAGTTAGGTAAGACAAGTGCCACTATTCTTATTTTATAGATGAGGATACCAAAGCCCAGAAAGTGAAGGGGACTTGCTTCAAATCAGAGTTAGAAGAGGCAGAACCAGGGTTAGGATTCATATGTTTTTATTCTTAGTTTACTGCTTTTTTTTTTTTTTCTTTTAAATTTTTTTACTTTTTATTTTTTTATTATTTTTTTTTCAACGTTTTTTATTTATTTTTGGGACAGAGAGAGACAGAGCATGAACGGGGGAGGGGCAGAGAGAGAGGGAGACACAGAATCAGAAACAGGCTCCAGGCTCCGAGCCATCAGCCCAGAGCCCGACGCGGGGCTCGAACTCACGGACCGCGAGATCGTGACCTGGCTGAAGTCGGACGCTTAACCGACTGCGCCACCCAGGCGCCCCTACTTTTTAAAATTTACATCCAAATTAGTTAGCATATAGTGCAACAATGATTTCAGGACTAGATTCCTCAGTGCCCCGTACCCATTTAGCTCATGCCCCCTCCCACAACCCTTCCAGTAACCCTCAGTTTGTTCTCCATATTTATGAGTCTCTTCTGTTTTGTCCCCCTCCTTGTTTTTATATCATTTTTGTTTCCCTTCCCTCATGTTCATCTCTTTTGTCTCTTAAAGGCCAGCATTTGCACTACTAAGCATTTATCCACGGGCTACAGGTGTGCTGTTTCGAAGGGACACATGCACCCACATGTTTAGTGCTCTTTTTGTTCAGTGCTCTTTTTGTGCACCACTGTATTTCTGGGTCTGTGTTGGGATAGCCCATGCCACTTGGATATTTATTTTAAGGAACACAAGTGTCTAGGCAAGTGTTTTTTTAAAAAATTACTGTTACAATTCTTGGTGAGGATATTTTCAAAAATTTTATTTTCTCTTTAAAATTATATGTATGGGATTATTATTGTTATTTTACCCAGAGGTATTACATGTATTTTAAGCACTCTCTGAAACAAAGTTTCAAACCTTTCGGGTAGGCAACAAAAGATGTAGTCTTGATTTTCTGGTAGATTTATGAAAGAGTATGTAGAAAGGCGAGGCTTTGTAAAGAATCCCAGAGTAGATTATTATGGGTATCTATTCTTTTTGGGTAGAACTGCGTGTAAATCATATGAAACATTTGTATGTTTGGGGGTATCCTCAAAATTTAAAGCATCCAAACAGAATCCACTAACAGCATTTTTGTTACTGATTTTGCTTTTATGAGCAGCTCTCTCCTGCCTTTATATCAAATTTGGTTGGGGTTGAGAGACTGGTAGAACCTTAAAACAAAAAGATTCAAATTTAAAACAAGTTATCAAAGTATTGGCAATTAGTACTAAGGTCTCTAAGCCCTTTCTAGAGTATTCATTACCCAAAGGGCTAATAAGAGCATCATAGAAATTTTGACATTTTAAAAACTATTATCTTTCACCTGAATAGACGTTCTATAGTTACTTTTATATTTCTCTAGCTTAAGATCTTGATTTCTTGTAAAACGTACTTCTCCCAAATTCTTAAGCTATTATCTATCATTTTACTTTAGAATTTTTAGGCGTTAGCATAGAGAAGAGAACCTGAGAGGAGCAAGAAATGGTGTTATTGAAGGTGGTGGCATTGAACGACTTGTGGAGGGGAGGGGTTGCCCAAGATTAGTTCAGTGATTTCATAACTTTGTGCAGGGCGAGTTCCACCTGTAATATCATTGTAAATCATGCCATCAACAGGTTAAACTAGCTTGATGACTTAGCTTATATTTATTTGGTTTGTAATATATGCTACCAATAGTTAATACTCCTTGTGGAAACTAATGCTTCACGAGTGGCATTGTTCTGCTGGGTCCAATTATTTATCCATTTTGCCAGGTATTCTGGCATTGACAGAACTGTGGAGTATCACAGTGGCCATCTAGATGTAATCTCTGTATCTCTTGCATCTTTTTACTGGAATGCTTGCTCCCTTTTTGTTAAGCAGATACTTTTTATTTTATTTAAAAATTTGTTAATGTCTATTTGTTTTTGAGAGAGAGAGAGAGAGAGAGAGAGAGAGAGAGAGAGAATATGAATGAGCAGGGGAGGGGCAGAGAGAGAGGGAGAAACAGAATCTGAAGCAGCTCCAGGCTCTGAGCTGTCAACAGAACCTGACGCAGGGCTCAAACCCACAGACCACGAGATCATGACCTGAGCCAAAGTCGGATGCTTAACCGACTGAGCCACTCAGGAACCCCAAGCAGATACTTTTTAAATCACAGTTTAAGTACTACCAAACTTAGTTTCTTTTTCTTGTATTGCATTCTTTCTTTCACACATTTCCATTGAAATTATTATAATATTATCGTAGTCTTTGGATTGTAGCATGGTTTAATAGTTAAGAACACAAAGCTTGGAGTAAGGCTGCCTGCGTTTGAATCTGGCTCTACCACTTACTAAGCTATATGACCTTGGGCAAGTTCCTCAACCTTACTAGGCCTCAGTTTCTTCATCTCCAAAGTGGATAAAATTGGAGTATCTGTCTCATAGAGTTATTAGTAAGGTTATATAGGTAAAATGTTTTAATATATGTTAAATGCTTAATATGGTTCTTAGCACATGGTAAATTCTAAATTAATGTTAATGATGGTATCTCTTCAACAAATCATTAGCTTCTTGAAGACAGATTGTCTTTGAAGGATAAAAAAAAACCCTCATTTGATGTGCATTTACTGTGTATCAAGTGCTAAATTTTACTTGTATCTCCAACTGTTACAACAATGTTGCACAGTTAGCATTATACCCAATTTGCACATGAAAAAAAATGAGACTTAGGCTGTTACTTACTCCAGGACAGTCAGCAAATAAGTTGTTTATATTCTCATCATTTGGAAAAGCACCTATGACATACTTATCACTTAGTAAAATCTTCCCTCTTTGTAGACTTAGATTATTCATTTATATCTGTCATCAGGGTCCTCTGCTAAGGCAAAGTATCAAGTCAGTCCTTCTTCCTCAGTGGGTGCAGTGTAAGTATGGTTCAGCAGTATGACAATTCCATAGTCTCTCCAGCTCCTGTGATAGTGACCTCTATTCTAATTCTGATACCTGTTTTCATGGCCATAGCTATGCCTTACCTTTCAGAGTTCTCATCTCGGAAATCTGGAATGCTGATCTCTTACTTTCTTACTGGAGTCTCCAGTCCTTCCAGTTCTCATTTCACTCCTGCTTCTGTTCTTCAAGCTTAGCCAGCCCTCTTGTCTTTCAGGTTATAAACTTCTGATATTCTAGACCCCTTTTAAACTTACTGCCCTTTCAGTGCATTTGGGGGGGGGGTAATTTTTGGAGATAAAATTCACTTAACATAAAATTCATCTTTTAAAGTGTACAATTCAGTGTTTTCAGTGTATTCACAGTATTGTGCTACCCTCACCAGTGTCTAACTCTGGAGCATTTCCATTACCCTAGAGAGAAATCCTGTGCCTGTT